CCCTAGTAAACCTGCAGCCAGCCAGGTACTGCTTAGTTCCCCCCGCCTCCAGTGGTTCCTCCTGCCCCTGCTGCTCCGCTCCAGGTACTGGGGAAGCTGCAGTTGGGTGGTGGCTCCTGCCCCAGCGCACAGGGCTCCAGCGCCAGCTCCTGGCCAACTTCCACTCACTCAGCTGTCTGCAAGTGACTGTTTATCAAGCCAGGAGGGCAGAGTGGGTGGAAGGCAACCAGAAGCTGAAGCTGGAGCCCCTCATGCTGACACAGGAGCCACCCAGCTGCAGCTTCTCCCTGCCTGGAGTGGCACAGCAGGGCAGAAGGAGGACGAGCCACTGGATGCAGGGGGAGCCAACCAGTACCCAGGCAACTGCAGCTGCAACAACAGCAGCCCTCCCAGGAAGCTGTGCACATTGACTGGAGTGGGGGCCATGGACTGCCCTGGGAGGGGCTGGGCCCCATGCGCCACTGGGGTAGCTGCAGGTCTGATGGGTGGAGGGTGGGGGAGCAGACTACCCCGCCCCGGCCAGGTCTGCTGCAATATCCCCTGCCCCTCTCTTCCCAAAACTGGCTCCGGGGACCTAGTGCGAAGGAGGCCCCCCACACACACATAGAAGGTGGCCACCCATTCACACACCCTCTACCCCACCCCACCCCACCCCCCACACACAATATACAAAGGTAAGACTTTATTTTGAGATTATGAAATCACTTCTATATATGCTACTTAAAAAAAAACAAACAAACCATAAAAATCAGGACAAAAATTATTTTTAAAATGCATTATAGTAGATGTTTGATTTTTAGTATACAGTTTTTATATGTAATTTGTTAAATTGATATCTTTTAAAAGACTTCATGTGTGTCACTGGCCATCAACATCTCACCAAAACGTGTTAGGTGGCCCTCCAGCCACTGCCCACCCCTGTGTTAAAACATAGTGGAACACTCTCACATTTCATACAGAACATTAAAAACTGTTCTGGAGGAGCTGGAGCTAGCAGAAAAAAGCTGATAAAACAGGTTACAATGTTCTTTAGTGACATTAAAAATATAAAAAAGACTGTTAGAATTCCTAATTTCAGGTTTTGTTTTAAAAATATGCTTGCAAGATAGTGAAAACAGCCTCAGTATTTGCAGAAGCAGTGCAGAAAGGTTTGAGTGGGGAAGGAAAATGAAACAGCTTGTTTGTTCTAGGTAGGAGTCTCTTTCACTAACTATTAAGACACACTGGGTGAAAGAGTGGAGGGTAGAAGCCAACACGGTCATGTGCATTCTGTGGCCAGATAAAAAGGATCTTGTGGTCTCTAACAATACTTTTTAAATATTCATGGACACAGTTACTTACTAATCCCTACATGTAACCAATGAAAATTATAATGATCACAGTGAAATTTTTCAGACCAAATAATTTTTCCATCAGTAGGATCATGTGATGATTTTATCATGCAACTTCTGCAGGACCCAAAAGTGTCTTAGGAGCTGAGCTCAGAACTACAATTCAAAACTCCTGTACATAACTTGTAAGCTGTAAGCCAAAAGGTTTATGGCTTTTATTTTTACCACAATTTTCTCTCCATGTGATTTACTCTATCAACTAAACAGAGCTCCATTCAATTTAAAAATTAAACAAAGATATTTTAATTCATTTGTAAGCCTCTCATTCATCCACCATTTAGTTAACATTTGTATAGGATGTCTTACAAAAGTTTTGTCATATTACCAGGTCAAAATGATACCATATGATCAGAGCCCTGTATATTTTGCTAAAGAAGAATATATAACCTGCTGCAGAATTCTGCTTCAGTGTATAAACTTTTATTGTAAAAACATTTTAGTCTTTATGATGGAAAAAATATATATATCCTTCCAGATGGGTGTCAAACAAAAGCTAAAATGGTGCTATTATCTTCCCAGGCTCAGTAGGTATGAACCGCTCCTATTCACTTAAATGAGATTCAAACAGGAAGTTTAAGAACTGAAATATCAAAATGTTTAAGTATTTAATAGCCTTAATAGAAATTTAGTTGTTTCTTGTGGAAAGATCTAGTAAAACAGGTTAAGCCGTGCCTCTCACTTTTAACCAGGAACCAATCAACTACCTTTTCTTGAATGCATATCACCTGGAGATTTCTGTACAAAATCTGGGAAAATCAACTGTTACAGGACTTACGAAAAGCACCATATAAAATGGCTTTTCTAACATATTTAACACTACTCTATTTTATACATGCTGAAATCATCATGAGTTAGGTTTTCATGACATTTAGGAGAATGCAAAATTGCAAGGGGGAAAAGACAGTTAAGATAATGCTTAAAAGACTTCAAAGAAATAGTAATGCTACTATCATAAATGTATTTGTTTTACTCGATCCATTAAATTAATTTTATGGTCCTTGGTTGGAAAAAAGAATATTTGATTTTTCAGTGAAGTGGCACTAAAGGTATATTCAGGCTGGAATGAGAAAAATGAAAAGATATCGTGTATATTCTGAATACAGAGTACCAAGCAGCACATGCAGAACCTTAACACATATTAGGAAAATACAAAGCATTCAACTGAAAAAAAAAATGTTAACTTTGTTTATAGGCATGCTTTATAAATACAAGAATTATACTTCAGTACTCATTTCCGCTTTGCATATTCTGACAAATTACAGATAATTTTCACTAACAGAACATAGAAAATTAGGATTGGAAAGGACCTCAGGAGGACATCTAGTCCAACCCCCTGCTCAAAGCAGGACTAACCACAACTAGATCATCCCAGCCACGGTTTTGTCTAAGCAGGTCTTAAAAACCTCCAAGGATGGAACTTCCACAATGTCTCTGGGTAACCTGTTCCAGTGTTTTACTACCCTCCTAGTGAGAAAATTCTTTCTAATATCTAACCTAAACTTCCCTCGCTGCAACTTGAGATTTGTCAGTCTAGCTCCATTTTCTTTCAAACCCACCTTCAGGTAATTGAAGATTGTTATTAAATCCCCTCTCAGTCTTCTCTTCTCTACACTAAAGCCCAGTCCCCTCAATCTCTCCTCATAAGTCATGTGCCCCAGCCCCCTCGCTACTTACACTGCCCTCTGGTGGACTCTCTCCGATTTGTTCACACCCTTTCTGTAGTGGGGGGCCCAAAACTGAATACAGTACTCCAGATGCGGCCTCACCCATGCTGAATAGAGGGGAAGAATCACTTCCTTTGCCCTGCTGGCAACACTCCTACCAATGTCATTAGCCTTCTTGGCAACAAGGGCACACTGCTGGCTCATATTCAGCTTACTGTCCAGTGTAACCCCCAGGTCCTTTTCTGCAGAGCTGCTGCCCAGCCAGTCAGCCCCCAGCCTGTACCGTGCGTGGGATTGTTCCACCCTAAGTGTAGGACTTTGCACTTGTCCTTGTTGAACCTCATGAGATTTCTTTTCATAGATCATAAGATCATAGAAGTAGGGTAGGAAGGGACCTTGTAGATCTTCAAGTCTGACCCCCCGCCTGGGCGGGAGAAAAGACTGGACTCAAATGAGTCCAGCCAGGTAGTCATCAAGCCTATTCTTAAAGATCCCCAGAGTAGGAGCCAGCACCACTTCCCTAGGAAGTTGGTTCCAGCTCCTAGCCGCCCTAACTGTAAAGTAGTTCTTGCAGATGTCTAATCTAAACCTACTATCTAATAATTTGTGTCCACTGTTCCTTGTCATGCCAGGGGGCGCTAGGGGAAACAGTGTCTCCCCTAAACCCATCTGGTCCCCCCTAGTGAGTTTACAGACAGTCACCAGGTCCCCTCCAGTTCAATCCTCCAATTTGACTAGGTTTCTCTGACTACTAGACCTACCCTCAAGCATATCTACTACTCCCCCCAGCTTGGCCTCATAGGCAAACTTGTGGAGGGTGCACTCTATGCTATCTTTTAGGTCATTGTTGAAGACGCCATTGAACAAAACTGGCCCCAGAACCAACCCCTGGGGCACTCCACTTGAAATTGGCTGCCAACTAGACATGGAGCCATTGACTACTACCCTCTGAACCCGATGCTCCAACCAGTTTTCTATCCACCTTAGGGTCCATTTATCCAGTCTGCACTTCCTTAGTTTGCCTGCAAGAATGTTGTGGGAGACTGTATCAAAAGCCTAGCTAAAATCAAGGTACACCACATCCACCAGTCTCCCCACATCCACAGAGCCAGTCATCTCATTAGTGAAGGCAATCAGGTAGGGGTGTGCAAAATGGGCCCTATTCAATTTGGATTCAGATTCAGCCCAAATCAGGGCTGAATCATTGATTCGGATCAGTCCCTGGTTCGATTAGGCCGAATCCGAATCTGAAGATTTGATGCCAATTCAGAGAATCAACAATTCAGACACAGAACCAACTTAAAATGTTTTTTCTGCATACCTCATGGTACCAAGCATGACTCGTGAATGCTGCGATGCTGGGACGAATGGAGCGTCCCACGGGAGTGCAGTGGGGCCCCCCGTATGTTCAGCAGCAAACCCGGAAATACTTCCAGTCCACTTCCGGGTCCACTGGGGAGCATGCAGGCACCCCCCCGCACTCTCCCTCAGCTCGGTGATCAGCTGTAGGGGGACCCCAGGTCCCCCAAGACCCAGGAGGCACCAGTCACCAACCTGTGGAATGCAGGGGGGGCCCCCCACGCGCTCCCCGGAAGACCTGGAAGTGGACCAGAAGTGCCTCTGGTCCACTTCCGGGTCTGCTGCCAAGCACGCTGGGGAGCCCCCCACACTCCTGTGGGATGCTCCATCCGCCCCAGTATCACAGCATTCACGAGCTGCCTGCTACCTTGAGGTATGTAGAAAAAACATTTAAAGCTGTGTCTATGTTTGAATATCCAAATCTTTGCAAATCAATTCGGAGGGTTCAGATTTGATTTGCAGAGATTAAAGGGTCTCCCGATTCACTTCAGATTCGGCCACTGAATCAGGCCAAATCTCCACTGAATCACATCAGTAACTGAAGCTTTGCACAGCCCTACAATCAGGTTGATCAGGCATGATTTGCCCTTGGTGAATCCATGTTGACTGTTCCTAATCACCTTCTTTTCCTCCACGTGCTTAGAAATGGATTCCTTGAGGATCTGCTCCATGATTTTTCCAGGAACTGAGGTGAGGCTGACTGATCTGTGCTTTCCTGGATCCGCCTTTTTCCCTTTCTTAAATATGGAAACTATGTTTGCCCTTTTCCAATCATCTGAGAATCTCCTAATCATCATGAGTTTTCAAAGATGATGGCCAGTATATCTGCAATCACATCAGCCAACTCTCTCAGCACCCTGGGTGCATCCCATCCAGCCCCACAGACTTGTACACATCCAGCTTTTCTATATAGTCCCTAACCTGTTCTTTTGCCAGTGTTGGCTGCTCATCTCCTCCCCAAACTGTGCTGCTCGGTGCAGTAGTTTGGGAGCTGACCTTGCCTGTGAAAACTGAGGTGAAAAAGGCACTGAGAATTTCAGCCCTTTCTGCCTCCTCTATCACAAAGTTGCCTCCCCCATTCAGTAAGGGACCCACACTTTCCCTGATCCTCCTCTTGCCATGGACATACTTGTAGAAACTTGTAGATCTCAACCCAACTCTATATATTTTTGTGCTAAGAGAACCAGATTTCCAAGGATGTCACTGCAGTTACATGTGTACATGCAAAGGATTTACTTGTATGTGCTCATAGCTACATGCAAATGTAGAGGATGAAGAAGTTTGGAAAACTATAATGCTCAAAGTAACAGATCTATTGCTAACTGAAAAACAAAAAAAAACTTTTCTGCCATGAGATATACCTGAGGCAAAACTTCAGTCATAACTAGATGCATTATAGGAGATAAGGAACAATAATCTAATTAATTTCTACCAAGTTCCAGTACAGAGCTTTAAAAAGGTACTGATGAAAAGAATGCAATTCCTGTTGCAAAAAGCATATCTGAGTATGTTCACACAAGTCTCATGCAAGACTTATAGTCAAAGAATCTTGCTGAGAGTCAACAGTTCATTAAGAATGCTCTGAACCAAGTGGATCCCTGTAACAAGGAGCCAAAATGCTCTTGTTACTTTGAAAGAGAAACAACAGCAGATAGCACCCAGGCACCTGAACAGGGGCTGGCTGCAAGAGGGAAGGTAACAAAGAAACACTAGTGCCTAGGCAGCGAGCTTCTCATTTAGCTAAGGGCACGCCTGCAGCCAGCCAAGGGAAGCCTCATGACTGGAAGGCAGCAGGGTTTAGGAAGCATATAAGCCTGGACAGGCAGTCTGGCCCTGAAGACTGCAGAGGAAACAGCTCCTGCAGCATAGTGCCTAGTTGACTCCTGAAGTGCCCTGGAAATTCAAGTAAGGTGCTGAAGGAAAGCAGCAGCTTATGACCCAGGGCAGGGGGTGAAGTTTGATTATATAACAGGTGGGCTAAGGGTTTTAGTTACAGCAAGTGTGTTTGTTTTCATTTTGGATTTATATCAGCAGACTAGATTGGGGCTTCCAGGGGTGGAGGAGGTCCCAGTAGCACCCAAGCAGGGCAGAGATAGGACCAGGGGTAGGGGGGTAGCACCTAAGCAGGGCAGAGTGGGGCTGAGGGGAGGGGGCCCAGTGCCCAAGCATGGCAAAGATGGGGCCGGTGGGCAGCGCCTGAGCAGGCCAGAAATACCGAGGTCAAGAGACCTGAGCCAAAGCAGGTGTGACAGGGGCTAGAAGGCCCAGGAAAAGGGAAGGGGCAGAAAAATCGGGAAAGCCGAGGTCCCAACAAGGGAAAATGAAAGGACAGCAACATCTGTGAGGCATGCACATGGCTGCAGGGGAGGATGAAGGCTATGAAAATTTACCCTGGAGGCACTTAATGTACTAGAGTGCAGCTTGTTAGTGGACAAGGGCTCACTCTGGGACCCCGGGCAGCCTCCCTTTTCCAAGTTAAATAATTACACCAGAGCGTGGCAGGAAAGAAGGGGGGGGGGTGGTACCCAGAGAGCCAGGGTGAAGCAGATGCTGCATGGCTAGCAGAGGGCATCCTTAGGGCCCAGCGCTTGCTACAATCCAACTTTGAACTTATTCTGGTGACATGCTCTATGGAGTGTTTGAAACATGACCCTGTAACTTAAAAGAATGTTGTCTGCCATCTGGACTGAGAAATAGCAAACTGAACTAAGATAAGAAAGCAGATTTCCTTAAGAAGCTGAGAAACCGAGTCATGAAAAAGTACAGTTAAAATTACACTACCCAGTTCTGCAAGCCTTGGAGAAATAGATCAAAATTCACATATAAACTCAAACTGCTATGTTCTTCAGGGACAAAATTCTTAACAGATAAAGAAAGACTATTGGAAGTTGGAGGCAAAGCCATTTTGGTATTTTGTTCATACTGTGAAATTATCTGTTAGAAGAACAAGGATGGCCAAAAACATCCATGCTGTTTCTTGCTCATTAAAGTAAAAGGAAAGAAAAAATTGCCAAATTTTGCCATTCCCAAAATGAGAGAGAATACAGAAAGAAAGGAACAAGTAGAATAAACTGTATCCCCTCCAAAAAAGCAACAAGAAAGAAAAATTAGATCTACAAAGACCACATTATTTTGTAATAAAATTTTATATTGCTATATCCTGCAAATAGGCATATGGAAATCCTGATTGACTCACTAATTCATGCTGTTCATAATGGCAAGCATGGCTAAGTAAGCCTATCTTGAATATGAGGGAAAGAAAAGCAGCTTTTAAGACAATGAGAACCAGAATTTGGGACAGACATCTTGGAAGGATAACCTTAAGAACTGCCTAGCTTGATGATAAATTCTAAGGCTTAACTTTATGTTGCTTTATGCTTATTTTAAATGCCAATCAAAGAAACAATTTAAGAAGAAAGATGAGTTTGGGCACTCAAGTGTGTTATGGGCTAGAGCAGTATATAATGACTATGCCCATTCAGGTATGGATTCACATACATATTTTCAAAGCTTTCAGATACATCAGTGATCAGTGCAGAATTGAGTATCTATGATAGCCAGATAACTATTCAGTCAATATCAAAAACCTCTTGTAACAAGTTCTGCAAAAAAATAAAAAATGAAAAAAGTAAAATTATTTGTTTTGTGACTTGATCTTCAAACTTAGCCTTGTTAAATAACTGGAACTAAAGATTAACTACAGATCAAACAGGACAGAGTAGTGAAGTCACAACAGTAAGTGAGTACCAAAACACACCATATTTACTCATATCCAAGATGTGGTTTCTTCCCCATTCAGCATGGGGGGAAAAAGCTCATCTTTGGATTTAAATACAAGGTAGGGGAGGGGAAACGGAGGGCTGCAGCAGCTCTGACTCTGGCCCCAAGCCTGCATCAGGGTCAGTCAGAGCCACAGCAGACACCTACGCCCTCTGACTTCTACCCCCCTACTCAGGATTAGGTTGGCTCCAGCTTCATTCCTTCCCAAAGCATGGAACTCTGTTCCCTGCCTGGATGAACAGCAGTGGCACTGCTGGGATGGTGCTGGGCCACATTTCTGTATGCTCCATGACCCAGGAATGAATGGAGTCAGAGCTCAGTCATGCCAGAGGCTGTGGGGTGGTAGATAGTGGTGCAGAAGCTGCCAGGAGCAGGCAGGCTGCAGGGCAAAGAAATGGGAGGGGCAGAGGGCAAGAGGGCCACCTGATCCCCCCATACCCACTTGTCCCTCTGCTTTCCCAACTATAGAAGTGGGGAGAACAATTTTAAGATGACCCTCCAATAATTAGATGCTATACCTGCAAATTATAACAAACTTGGACATTTTTCCATCAGCATGGCTGGCAAGATATAGAGTCTAATCTTAAATTCAGGTAAATACTGACAAGTAGTATACTGTTGGCAATATAAATGTTAGCAAAACATGTTACCTAGGTACTATATGAGTATATAGGTTACCCAATTAAATAAAACAGCTCTTGTTTGAGTTATTCCTTACAACAATGTCCTACCTAGTTAAGGCAAGTTTTAGGCCACTTACAGGTATTGGGGAGAGGGCAGATAACAGGCACTTTAAGCTTGGGGCACCCCTGCACAAAGCGGAGCATATGCCCAGAAGAGGCATCACGTTAGTTGGACCCAGCTAGCCCAACATCTATATAGATCAGGTGCTTCCACGTAACTTTTTGGCACTTTTATCCAATAGTTAATTCAAACAAAAAAAGCACCAAAAAGACCCACTGAAGCACCTGATCCAGTCAGATGCTGCAGAGCTGAGTCGAAACTAAGGCGCTACCTCTTCCAGTATATCATTGTTTTTTTTCCATGTCTGTCAGCACCCTTAGATAACTATTTAATATACATATGGTACATGAAACACTTCTCACCTGCCAGTAACAAACTGTAACAACAGTACTCTCTCCTCCTGAGTTAGTTCTTCTACGACATCCCAAAACCACTAAACAAAACAAAAAGTTAGTTTACATTTCCCATTAATCTTTTTTGAAACCAAAAAAGTGAACACAAAAATGGCATATTTGCTTATCTGTAGTTTCAACTATGGAAGTTACTACCTCTGGCACAAAATCCATAGACAGCTTTACTATGCTCCATGCCCACATGAATAATCTACAGCAAAACTTTGGTTAACCTAAGTTTTTACCAACGAATGGCAAAAAAAAAACTCTGAGGGATTAAAATACAATATTTTACATCCATTCAGAAGGGACTTTACCTGAATAACTTGGTCTCCTCTTTCATAACCACTTGTGTATTCTGTATTTTTTAGCCAATCATTCACATCTATTTCTGGCATACCAGAGAGCAAAAGTTCCTTCAGGAGAAAAAAAGAAAAAAAAAAAACCAAACCCTTGATTAGTTTTTCAAACTGTTAATTTTAAAAGTTTATTTACCTCAATTAAAAAATAATCCTGTACAAAGCTAAAATGCCTTTTCTGTTCAGTTTCAGCCTGCTTCAATATTGTATTCTTAATAACAAAAAAAAGATTGAATCTTACAGTAAGTCTCCCATATTCAAAAAAGGAGAGTTCACAAAAGTATGCTTAAGTCCAACTGCCAGTTCTCAAAAGTAAAAATAATAACGATCAAGTATACTGTGACACAACACTGAATTTTAACTGAATATAACACAACTCTTCAAATTGTAAAGCATCTCAGCTATGAAACTTAGTTTTTTTGCTAAGACAACAGACATGGCCTCCACTTTTAAAATACAAAAGACAAAAGACTGAAAAGCCATTTTAGGCTAGAACTCTGTTTTTCACTCCCTTATGGACTTCTGAGTAAATGTATTAAGAGCAAAGTTAAGATTTTTAAACTAAAAATATCCTACTGCAGTCTACCACCTTTCATACTGCACACATTCATCAAGAGACCTGAAGGGATGCCTATAAACAGGTTTTGGGGAAAAGGAGTCTCTCTCCAAGGGTAAGCTTATGGGTTCACACTAAAAGGCTGAGGGTGGCATTTCCCTTCATCTTAGAGCAGAGGTTTTCAACCTTTTTAAACAAGTGTACCACTTCTATCTCAAAGTTTCATCTCATGTACCCCTTTATATTTTTTTATTGTTTTTAAGGCGGATGGGCAGCTTGAGGGTCCACACAGCTGGGGCAGAGAGTGGAATGGAGCCGCGAGTAGTTCATCCAAGGGATGTGGGGGCAGCTCCTGATGCTACGTGTACCCTGGGAAGGCATGGTGAGCATGTGCCCTCGGATCTGTGCACAGGGCCATCTGCACACAGAGCAATCCCCGCCGCACACTGCTCAGTCCTGTGCCCCAACCTGGCTAGGCAGTCCTTGCCCTGGCCCCAGCCCCACTCCCTCCCCCACAACAGACTTACCAGCCAGACCTGGCTGCTCTCCATGGGGCCAGGCAACACTCCTGGCCACCCATGAGCTGCATTGCAGCTGCACACACACACACAGCAATTACCAGCCATATCAGTTCTGCGTAGCCCCTACGACCCTTTTAAGTACCCCTAGGGGTGCACATACCCCTAGCTGACAACCACTAGGTTAGAGGAAATTGTTACTGACCAGTTTTTCCTTCCTGCTATACCTCTCATTCATTGTTTTACGATTCTTGAGTTTTGTTTTTTAAATAAGATATAGCAGATCCTCCCCAGCAAAATATTTAACTCAGATAGATAGAAGTTTCAACCTTCTTTTGGGAATTATCTGAGCACTTAGAATAGAAAACTGAGAACTAATGATGTTACTTATATAAAAGTACCCAGGTATGAATGAGGTCAAAAAAGACGTGTCCTAATACTAGACCGGGGCAGACCCAGAAGGGATGCAGTAGTATGATTGCATCCCCTTTATGACCACGCAGCAGAAGCAACAGTTGTAGACTTTTTTACGTTCTGAAATAAAGAGGGACCAGGCAGGGAGGAGGAAGGCTGCTGCTGCCACCACTGTCCCAAACTGAGCCCAGCCCAACCTGTATGCAACCTGGCTGGAAAAGGACAGGTACTCCTCTCACCCCCAGAAGAGTGGTGATAGTGGCAGGTGGGGGGAAGTGGAAAAGGGAGTGAGGGGAACATGCCTTTGAGCTGGACAGAAAGGGGCAAGGGATTCTTTTCAGCTTTAAGGACTTACCATCCCTGACTGCTGTTTGCCAGCGAGGGGAAGAGGTGGGAGCTGGAAGCTGGAGGGCAGGGTGCAGGCACCTCTGTAGCACTAGTCACTGCACCTGCATCCCCCCTTCGCAACATCCTGGATCTGCTCTGTGTCCTACTAGACTTAAGCTACCACTCATTCTCTAGATAAAGTGGATTTCTGATGACACCATGATATCAAATGCAGAGAAATTTGCTCAGAGCAGTACTGGCAAAAGAACCAGTTTTTGTTGGGATTAACCTAGTGCCACAGTTGAGCCCCTCCTCCTCCCTTGGCTTTCTCTCCTCATAAGACAGGAAACAACTTTCATTTCTGTAAAGACAACAAAATCTACATTTGTTCTGGTTTTGGGTATAAGAGACTTATATCCAGTAAAGCAGGTAAACCTTAATATTGGGATATTAAAGTTCCAGTGAATTAAAGAATCTACCAATGCTGAAAGTTTCTTTAAGGATAGTCCAACCAATCCATTTGCTCCCAACTAAGATAACTTAATCTTTTAGATTAAATAAAAGTGGAAGTTAAAGATCTAGATTTCAAAAGGGCAAATAAAAGCATTATGATAGAAGGAAGCCTCCAGATAATAAATTAAGTACATAAGAGCTGCCAAGTTTACCTACACTGAACTGTGCTGCCAACATACAAACTTAAAATAAGGGATATTGGAATCCCTTGGAATAAACCTTAAAAATATTTTCTGTGCTTTTATTATTTTACAGATCTTTGAAAAAGGAAGAGTTCTCCAAAGTTTTTATACTTTGGGATACTTAAAACAAAAATCTGCACAAGTGGAAGACACCAACCCTTTAAGCTTTCCCTAATATTTGTTCTAAAAGGGAAGTATCCTTGTATCTCCACAATAAAGCTGGCTACAAATTTGGTAGGTATAAACTGTAAGTATTGAAGTGAACAGCTGAAATGACAATTTTTTGTTTTAAAAAATAAAGCATTTCTTGTTTGTTGAGGTGATTTAATATATTTAAGGTTAGTTATCACACAAGCTATTTACTGATAACTTCAAAGTACAGCAGATGTGCAACATTTCTTAGTGTTTTTCTGCATCCTGTCTGTGGCAGGGCACTATGTGTGCCTGCCACTTTAAGGCCCTGGAGCTAGCAGCCTCCAGGTGCCTAATGAGGGCAGCCATTTTAAGCTCAGGGCTACTTATATAAACAAGGCAGTCTGGCTGCTGGAGGGGAGGCAACAACATTGCCTAGCCTGAGGGCTGCCGAGTTTCATCAGGAAGTAAGGCAGGAGCTGTACGGGATGGTAGGAGGCTCCTGATCCTGGGTACGACTGGAAACTACACCCTGCTGGGAGTGGGTGGCCTGGTGGGGCTCCCAGTGGCGCGGGAGCCCCCAGGAAAGGCCAGGCCAGTGGTCACCCCGGTGAAAGGTGGGTCAGGGCGCCTTAACCCCTTAACCCCTAACCCTTAGGGTGGGTCACGGTACACTGGAGGTAGTTGTGGAGGTTTGAGAGCCCGTGGAGGAGAGTTGGGGCCAGGCACAGCTACAGCCACCCGAGCCCACCTGTGGAGGGAAGCCCCAAGACCCTGAGTAAAGGGGGTATTATGAGCAGTGTGGAGCCCCCAGTGTGAGGGGGGCAGAGTGTGAAGCCTCCAGTGTGAGGGAGGCCAGCACTGTGGAACCACAGCAAGAGGGGGCAGTGATCAGAAGCCCCACAAAGAGGGCAATGTGGAGCCCTGTGAAGGGAGAGGGGGCTCAGCCAGAGGGCAAGAGAGCTGAGTCCTGACCCCAATAAGTCCTCCACTGTTGGGAAGCAGAGTGTGGGTCAAAGATAACACCAGTCATAGCACCATGACCTGCTGCCCGGGGGGGGGAGTGAGAGTCCTCTGTGAGACCCTGAGGCACCAGTCATGGTGTGAGGCACCCCAGCTCCGTAAAGGAGGACCCAGAGAGGGGGACCCCGGGATAAGAGTATGGGTCATACACCAGGGCCTGCCACAGCTTCCCCTGATTGGCCTAGGCGGAGGTCAGGACCAGGAGGGTCAGAAGGGCAAGGAGGCCCACCTGAGAGGGACATCCAAGAGCCAGGGGCCTGGGATCCCGACTGGCCTGAAGGTGGGCTGGGGTAGTGTGAACCAAAGGTCCCAGTGAGGGGACCACACCTGAAGGGGAACCGATGGCAGGGCGATATATGGCCTGGTGTGAAGGCGGCAGAGTCCGCCTGAAGGGTGGAACCCAGGTGGGGGCCTACAGTAGGATTCTGGGCCCCATCATGGCGGACTGGCACATATGAGAACACCATGATGTCATCAGCGAGGCTTGGGCTGCGGTGTAGGGGAGGAATGTAGCCGCAGATAGCGCCCCCTAGCAGTGGGGCAGAAAAAGGGCAGCCTCCCGCCTAATTGTATCTATTAATTAATCAATTAAGACCAAGACGTGGTGGGCGAGAAGACAGGCGGTTAGCCCAAGAACAGGTGGGCGGGCCTCGCGGACGTCGGCCCCAGTAGCCCCCATTACACTGTCATAAAAGAAATCAATAAAAAAATTGTACTTGTCTAATTCACTTTGTAGCATCTAAGTCAGTCATTGGCCTGATACCATAATCTAAGACTTCTGACGCTTTCTTTCAACATATCATGTTGAAAGAGCCTACCAAGACATCAAGTGAATTTCCTGATGTGATAATTATAATATATTAACATGACAAAAGCTCCTATATGCAATGCATTATAAATGTATTACTTAAGGAGACGATACTCAGGGCCCAAGGGGTGACCATCCCAACAAGAAGCAAGGGGTCAGGAGTGCCCAAAAGCCCCCCCCAGCTCACCAAGCGCATCTGGGAATGCCTGATTGCCAAAAAGGCAGCGTATAACCGGTGGAAGAGGGGTGCTCTCTCCAAAGAGGAGTATACCTCCTCGGCTCCGGCCTGTAGGGGGGCTGTCAGGAAAGTTAAGGCGGACACAGAGCTAGGACTAGTGTCCAAGATCAAAGATAACAAAAAGTCCTTTTTCAAATATATAGGGAGGATGAAGAAAGCACGGGGAAATGTGGGGCCCCTGCAAGATTCTCTGGGCAATCTGATGGTTGCGCCAGAAGAGAAAGCAGACCTCTGTAACCAATTCTTCACCTCCATTTTCCTGGCCAGGGACCAGGACTTCCCCACTGTGATGCAAGACGGACTTGAGGGGAATGCCTTCAAACCTCAGGCTGGGGAGGACTGGGTT